GAAATAACATTACTTTCTCTAATCCAATTATTTCTTCATTGCTAGTTCAAATAATCAAAACAATGCAGAGAGTTGTTAGGAGAGATAAGGACCATTGCAATGATAACTTCAAAGACATGAAAAATGGAAATAGGTACGGAAGAACAAGACAAGATGAATTTAGATTAGCATCTTGTTATTACCAGTTTGGAGGTGTCCAAGAATTGAGAGCAACAGTAAATCTGGAGAGCGATATCAAATACTAGAGCTAACAAAATATAATTTGTATAATCTTAATTTCACATGCTAACAAAGTAATGATTAGGAGTCCTACATGGAAAGAGAGATACCAGCTACTCAAGTTATTGGTTTTTTTTTAAACAAGCAATATTATTGTTGACACATAGTGGCTGTTTCTGTAAATGTGCCCACTGAAGTAGTACTTATATATTTACTTGTGATTACACATTTTTAACTGCTAGATCGGCAGGAGCTGGAGGGAATGATGGGAGTTCACCCCACCATGCAGCAATGCTCAGGTCTCCAACCCATTGTCCTAATCATGTGAACTACTACACTTTTCTACTGCTTTGCTAAGCAACAGCAATTCCAGCAGCCCTCTTTGCCATCATTAAGTAAGGACCATGCAGGCCATTAAAGGCGATTTCACATGATCATAGTTTCTGACTTCTTGCCAGATTCCCCACTATAATCAGAGGTGGTATTCTGCTGGTTCATTCGTTTGGGCAAACTGGAAGTGGAGGCAGCAGGTGTCTCCGTCCACCTGCCCAGATGTTATCACGGACACTCTGTGCATGCTCAGAAGCTTCTGCGCATGCCCACAAGTGCTGTGTGTGAGTGAAGCGAGTGTGCGGGCATGCATGCTCCCAGTTCTGAACTGGTGGAGAAGGTAAGAGGATTTCATGCCCGATTATAATGGTATGTGGGAAAGACCTTGAGAGGTGGGTTAAAAGATGCTGCCTAGGGAATGGCCATCTAAGATAAAGTGTAACAGTTAAGAAACTTTTTTTTATTATCTTGACTTTTGTTGCAAGTCTTTGTTCATTCTGAGCATTTGCTTTCCTGACTTTGTCTTTGCAGATTCTAGCTATCTGCTGATATTCTGTCTTAGTTATGTATCCCTCTTTTCATTTTTTGTACTTGTCCTTTTTGTCTTTCAGTTTATCAGAGAGATCTCAGTTCAGCCATGCTGGTTTCGTCTTAGATTTCTTGTTTTTTTTTCCAGTGGTATTGTGCTAGATTGGACTTTTATGATAATATTTTTAGTTTCCCAAGCTTCTTCGGTTGTTTTCCCCTTTAGGATTTTCATCTGAGAAATCTTTTCCAAATTCTCTCTGAGTTTGTTAAAAATCAGCTCTTTTAAAATCTAGGACTCTGGTATCATTATGTTCTATTGCTTGTGTTTGTATTATGTTGAATTCTAATATGATATGGTCATTCTCACCAAGGATGAGCTTTTGACACAGGGCAACATCAGTTTGCTGACAATAACCTCCATACTGCTGCAGCTACAGAACACATCTGTGCATTTGAGTACTGAGCCAGAGGAATAGGTCCTTGCACCAACTATACCACAGAACTCACAGGGCAGCAGAACAATCTCTGCATGAATTATGACAATTATATTCTTTGCATTATATCACCCCCTGCTGATTGATTGCAGTATCTGCAAATAAACAAAAGATAGCTTGTGCTTCAGGGGAAGGGAAAAGTTATAGAATTGATCTATGATTCTATGAAGTCCTTCTGTGAACCATCTTAAATGAAACGCAAGCAATCACTCTTCTTTGTTAACAATTTTCTTAACAGCTACCACAATCAATCAGCAAGGGGTGACAGTCCACAAAGATGTTGTAGTCAGTGCCTAAGAAGCGGAAAATTAAGTTTTATGAAATATGAAAGAAGGAGAGAAAGATATATCCCAATTGAAAAAGAGAAAAGGAAACACATTGTTTAGAATTAATAGTTACAGCTGAGTATTTGATGCATAAAACATCTTTCATCTATCTGTATTTACAAGTAGTAAATACTTGTAAATACGGAAAGTCTTTGGTTAAAAAGAAAAGAAAAGAAAAAGGACAAATAGATAAGAGGCAAATAGTTGAAGATATAACAATAAAAGGCATAGAAATTCCATGTCATTGAAAAGAAATATGGACATTTAGATGAAATATCAAATATAAAATGATTGGAAAGGCTGAACTTCAGAACTTTGTCATAACTATATACAACAGAGTTTCAGATATATCTTGTCTGAAACTTTTCATTTAATGACTTTAATTAAAAACAAGCCTCTTATATTGTAATGCAATGAGGTTAAAGTGACTCTGAAATAACTGAAGAAAACTATCAGATTATATGTCAATCTGATAGAGGTTGATTCCATTTAATGATAATCTGATTTCTGCAGCCCAAATAAGGTAGACCTGTAAGGTTGCGATGGTGATAATATGGCTGTAGGAATGAAGGAAGAGGATTTGCCATGAAGAGAATATGGGGAAAGGAGGAGGTAGTGGTGGAAAAGTGATTGGGCGGGGAACGAAAAATTCAACAGTATGCAGGAGAGCAATGGAAAGATTGTGGGAGCACTGATGAAGCAAGGTAGCTAGTGAGGAAGAGGAGGAAGATCAGATATTGTGCTTAAATCTTCCAGACCATAACTGCCATCCAGGAACAAAAATGGATCCAGAAGTGAAGTTTATATAATCCTGCTAACTGGTTGACTTTGGGAAAGTTACTCTCTCCTTGGAGAAAAACAGCTATCTATCAACTTGCTGGGTAGATTATGGTTCATAACCTTCAATTAAAATAATTTTATCTTGCAGTGAACAAATTTGGGCAAATGACAATAGAAACAACAATGTTGTTTCCAATACCATTGGAAAAGGCTCCTTTTTTTAATGAGGTGTATATACAGTGCTTTTATTGTTAATATCCTTGATGGAAAATTCTTATAAGATTAAAAAGTTATGGCCAGTTCTTCTTCACATTTTCTATTCATGTAATCACAACAAGAGGAATTGGAATGTAAGAGGACACATACTTGATTTACAGATAGAGCCATGGTGATGCAGTGATTAGAATGCAGTCATTGCTGGCTAACTCTGCCCACAACAGGAGTTCAATCCTGATGGACTCAAGATTGACGCAGCCTTCCATCCTTCCAAGGTCAGTAAAATGAGGACCCAGATTGTTGGGGGTAACATCCTGATTTTGTAAACCACTTAGAGAGAGCTTTAAAGCATTACGAAGATGTATTTAAGTTTAAGTGCCATTGTTATTTCTATCTTCTTCTCTGCAATTTCAAGCCTAGAACAGATATCAGCAACAACTGCCAAGGTCTTTTAAACCTTCACCAACTGTGCCACTGATAATGTGGTATGGGGAGAATTTATATTTCAAATGGCCTCCTGCTCATTCCTGTGTCTCCCATTAGTACAGATTGTTTCCAGCAGCTGTGAGCAAAAAGAGGTTAATATAATTCTTCTGAATGATTCATGGCTTATTTGGAGGATACAGGGGCAATGATGTGTTTTTGTGGTTCATCTTTTTAGTATTCATTTTTAATCAAGGTAATAAGGACTGAGTCATCAGATATGTTTGCATATGAGTGCATTGAAATTGTCATTAATTTAAGAAAAACCTACTGATCATTGCAGCTGGACTGATCATTTTTATATAAAAGGGAAAAAAGATGACACCATTTCAGCACATGACTCTTAATAATCCTTGATAAAATAAAGAACTATAGAAAATGTCTTCTCCCTTGTGAGTAGTTACTAAAATGTAAAATTACTAATGATTAAATTAGTAATTATTGAATTATTAGAAGTGGTATGTCTGGCAATGGAATAGGAATTCATTAGTAATTTTGAATAATATTAAAAATGTATTGGATGGCTGTGAAATTTTTTTAACTGTGCACTGAATTTAGAGAAAGTAAAATAGGGTTGGGTTGGGTGGTATCTTTTTAATCAACCAAATTAACACAGGATAATTAAATAACATAGAAGGGAATGAATGGAAGTAACTGTTTTAAAGAGCTTATTTGGTGCAGTGGTTAAGGCATCAGCTAGAAACTAGGAGACCACGAGTTCTAGTCTCATCTTGTTCACAAAACTAGCTGAGTGATCTTGGGTCAGTTGCTTTTTCTCTGTCCTATGAATCTGGCAATGATAAAACATTTCTGAAAAAACTTTCCAAGAAATCTGAGTGACTCAAAGCATCATCTGAAAATTGGACATGATTGAACAGAAAGTTTTAAATCAATTACTTCTAATTGTGATAAGGCCTCTAGGACATACAAAGTAGTAACCATAATTTTCCTTATTCAATAAGTGTTTACAAAACCTCTTATTACCAGGAATTTTAGAAAACCACACTATCACTGGCTTTATTGCAGTAGAATTCATAACAAACCAATGTTATCAACATGCAAAAGCTGCAATGAAGTACTTGAGGCGTTATGTCTGATTCAAATATTTAACTGGAAGCATTGGGTACAAAACTTGCCAGCATTCTCTCCCCCCCCCCCCCCCCAAAAAAAATTCATGATGCTCCACTGTACTTTGGAAACCTGCATATGCAGCAGCTAACTTTCATGTACTTTATTCTGGTGATTTCAATATTGTACTTTAGAATGCTTTTTCCAGTGTTCTGTCATATGTTTCAAGTATTAAACCTGAGTTGTGATTCCACTTTTTGGAATACTTTTCAAACCCTGCAGTACAGATAGCCACAAACTGTTTTTAATTTGCAAAAGAAATTAAAGATTTGAGATGGGATATCAACACTGGAGAATAAAACCTGTTGAAGTGCTGTTTGCTCTGGCCTTTCCTATCTTAATATGTTTTTAATGTCTCTCCTATAATTAATATTTATATTGCTTTAATGTAAAATGCTTCAGGAAGGAATCATAAGGGAAGCATTATACTGTAGATGTATATTAAATAAATAAATGTTCTCAATAATAAAAACTCACAAGACATTGGCCCAAGGGATGGGATCTCCCTTCTTCAGGTTTCAGTTTTAATTTTGAAAATGAGGACACACAATCATAAGAAAACTGCTTTGCATCATAATGCCCATATTTAACATTTTTAAACAAGTAAAGCCATTAAAAAATCACATCATCTCATACAGTACATTTTTGTATTCCCTCAGCAATGCCCATCAACAATATTCAAAAGTTGGATGTATTTCTTAGTATTTTAAGAAGCATATAACCCATGACCACAGTAAAGCAGAGTTCACATTCCGCAGCTTCTTTAGCTGAAATTCAAAAGCTTAAACCTTAGGTCACATTTGACATAAGGACTGTTCCTCCATCTGCACATAGTATTTGGCAAAAGTCAGGGGCAATTATGCAATGGCTTATCACCATGTTCATTTTTATTATTGTATGAATATTGATAAAAGCCACTGCAAATCTGTTCCCATTGTCCCAAAGGTCCTTTTACAAAAGGCAACTTGACTTCCTTTTTTTTCTTGTAAATTTTCACTTCTCGTCCAAGAAGCTTCTTTAGTTCTTCAGCTTCTTGGATATTTTCAGGGGGAGAAAAGGCAAGAAAATCCAGTTCCTTTTTTGAAAAAGCATCTTTGGGACACACATGACCATGATTGGGAGTCTCCAGAGAGTTGTTCATATTATACTGTCAAGACAAAGGAAGAGTGGAGGTCAGAGTTTTAATTTTATAGCATAATATAAGTACTGCGCTTAAAGTTCCTGACTTCAGACAAAAGATGAATTTAAATCTACATCTTATTTCTAGAGAAACAGAAAGGTTTTTTCTTCAGTGAATAAGATCAAGCTTAATTTGAAATTGTACAAGTTTATTTTATAAGGTATTTTTCTAACCTACATATGTATTTGGCGAATTGATTTTTTGAAACATAAGCAATTGTTCACAAAAGTTCAATCAACACTTTCCTTCCAGAGAAAAACATTGCATGTGAGAAATCTAGTAATTTGCTTCTATTTTTAAAAAAAAATTGATGGGAAATCACTATCTTATCTTTGAATTTTTGATATTTAGTAACTATTTTCAAAAATAAGTACCCCCCAAAAAACTATAACTTGCAGTTGCGCTTTTTTTTCATGTGAACCAATTATTACAGTAAAACTACATCCCAATAGTTGCTTGAATTTTTTTAAAAATAGGGGTTTGATGGTCACAGAAATTAATTTAAATGAAATAATAATGCTATATAATAAGCTTGCAAACAAATATTTTTTACACTTAGTGGTGCATTAGTCTAAAAAATTATGTATCAACTATAATATTATAGTTTTTCACATAAAGTTATGGAAAGTTTGAAATATGTTAAGTACTAAATAACTATATGAAATATCAATGTATTTTCAAAAGTCATATTTTGGAAAATCTCCAACTAAAATATTTTCATGCTGTCAACAGCATGAAGCAATTAATACATTAATTTGAAAAATGCAACAGAAAATACAGCAAATCCTTGCCTTAGGAATTTGTCACTGGCATTTTAAAAATCATGAAATTAACAGAACTTCACAGACATCAGACAACCTAGATCAGTTTTGAAAAAAACTTTGGAGATATAAGAAAACTGACTTTAAAAGTCCCATTCATGTTACAAGACTGATTATGTAGCATTCAACTTTGCATATAATATGTAGCATAAATGATTCACAGAATACCCAATATGCAATGAAGGTAAAACAGTTTTCTTGACACTTTTCATGATTCTCCATGGAAACTTTACAGAAAAAACTAGCAAGGCCAATTTTAAATGCCTACTACTATAGATGCATACAATTAAAGGCAAATGTATTTTAGGAAAAATCCCTATGTTCTCAATAATGTTTAAATTTGACCTATTTATCTCTTTACTTATATTGTTTTAAATGTTGAAAATTAACAAATTCAGCATATTAACATACTAATTTGGGAGTCTCTACACTTTTAATATACTTATTTCAACTGTATAGAACCAAATGCATTCATATGGATAATCCTTCTTTAAATTCTTCATAGTTGAAAATATTATGAAGTTTGTTTATATTCACATACTTATATAATTATGTACGTACATGAAATTTATAAAGTAATAATACATCCATCTGTTCATATTTATGCTTATGTGTGTGCATATGCACACATCAACATGTACACGGATGAATGTATAGTTTTATACTAAAGTGAATAAATTAATATACACTGATTCTTTTATAAACTATTCATAGTGTAATCAAAAACAGTTTTTAAAAACTTCCTCATATAGCAAGGTTCTACTTAAGGATGAGTTGGGCCAATGTAATATTGCTTCATTTATTCAAAGTGCTGCTTTCCATTTGTAGCCACTGGGTATTCTTAGAAGTCAGCATCTATAATATTTAGTGTAATTTCTTCAGCTTTTGTGCAAGAGGGACTTTTTTGGATAATGAAGAAGAAATCTGTGGCCATTTCATCAGTGGTGAAATAAGGATCAACCTGAAGCATTTACTACATGGTAAGAGATCATTTCACTATTATACAAATCCTTCACAGAAGCATGTCCAAATATAAACAAACATTTTAGCACAAAATAAAAACAATTAATTTTAGGTAAATCAAGTATATAAGTAGGAGGTAAAAGCCTATGGATGAACTTTAAAGGCTAGAAGTTCTTCAGAGTGCATGTTATTTAAGGAACGCAGATCGGGCAGTTTCAAAAGTAGTTTTGTAAATATAGAGGCTTCATTTGGATGATTTTTTGTGATCAAAGTCCTGAGTGCCCGGATCAATGTTTCTTGCAGTGCTTCCACAGAATTAACATTCTCTATTCCTGATCGTTCTAAATGAAAGATAAACAATGGGATGGAGACAGTTATTGGTTTGCAACTTATATTGTTAAACACACTACATAAAGTTCTGCAAAGTACCCAGGTATTCATCAAAGTGTTTAAATTAGTAAATGATATTCAAACGACGTAAATCATAACCACTATAGGTCAAGGCCATTATAATTAACATGCTCATTTTAAGTAAGTATCAATTTGACAAGCAATGTCCTTAATTTATAATGAAGGATGGAGGGGCACCTTGAGGTAGGCAAATGCATTCTGCATATATCATGAGAACTTAACTTGCGATCCAATAGCTTGCATATATAGAGGAATCTTTACTTCTCATTTTGAGCAGAGTTACAAGTACACACATATTACATCTCCTCAGAGATCATAGTCACAGTAAAGTAACAAACAGGTTCTAATAATATTGTATTGAGGAAAAGAACAATTTTGACTAGCTAGAGTGTACAGTTAAGAGGAATGTTTGGGATATGAGGCAAGGATCCTAACATAATCAGGAATGTAAGATGAACAGAATATTAACAAAATAGGATTTTCTAGAGTGTTTATTTGAGTGAGTGGGACTTCAGAATACTCTTCCTTGCCACCTGGAAGAGTAAGAAAGCACATGTTTGACTGTCCCCTCCCTCCTATATTATTATTTATTCCACGATGAAAAATTATGTTCGTTTGCATGATAAAGAATTCACGATAAGTGGACTGAGAAAAAATATTTTTGCATCTACCCAAGACATTATTTATTTTACTTGTTGTTGCACTGCAGTAATTAAAATTGATTATCATAGATCAGGCTGCATGACAATTCAAAATTACATTTTCTAGTGTAATATTCCTATTCCAATATGGATCAGAACATGCAACATTGTACACACACACACACACACACACACACACACACACACAGATATTTTATTTTAAAATTCAATAGCATATTCTCTTTTGAAGTTCACAAGAGAAAGAATATTGAACTAAAAGTGAACTGTAAAAAATCCCTCCCTCTAAATCTTTCATATGTAAAAACAGCTGAAAAATAACAATACATTCCTAATAAAGTAGGAAATATTGCATCAATACTGAAAAAGTGGCAGCATGGTTGTCTTTGGCTAAGCTCCAAAACAGTCTCATATGTAGCTACTGCTGAAAAAAAAAATCTGGTTCTCATTCCTTTTTATGCAAACCAACTATATAAAAGGAAGAGGAACAGAACCATTAGTGAGGCACCTCCAGAAGAGATAAAATACTATAAGATAAATTTCAAATATAATCTTATTTGTTAAACAGTATAAAGAAACCCAGGGGAGAGGGGAGAACGGGAGTCCAACCCCCAAACCAGATTTCATATATTCTGAAAAGACAAAAGATATTTCATTTTTTTTTGCTATATGTAAAGGTTCATTTTAGTTTCTTACCAGCAGATACAAGGACCACCGCTGTAAACAAACTCATTTCTTCATCACTAAGGTTGAGTGCATTTAGCTTCTCACTAAACTCAAACATGGAGTTCAGCAGATCACCAGCTCCCATGGTACGTAAATCATCCAAACTGTACTTCTTTCCACTAAGAAAAGTGACAGTACGATCTTTTGCATCAAATAGAGATGCAAACCGTACCATTAATACCTGGTCAAAAGAAAATTTAGGGAGAAAGCTCTCATGTAAATCTATACTCAATTCATATAGAATCTTTAAAGTTTGACAGCTCATAAAATTGAAGATAAGTCTTCTCTGAGCCAAGGTCAATTCTTGGTGACTTGTCTTGAAATTAAAGGGAATTTTACTTCCCAAATCTTCAATCTCTTCCATCCAACCATTATCCTGCTCAAAAATGTGTTCTCTGAGCCTAAAAGCAATGAAATTGTGAGGTATATCCTGAATATTTAATTCTAAAGTAGTCCACACACAAAATGATTACTATCCTATGTAATTTATATCTTTCATTTGTTTGTTTAAAAATGCTTTCTTACAATTTACTAAAGATATTATTAATCACAGGATTTAAAAAAATCAGCAACTATTTATATAATTTAGAAACAGGAGAGGTTATATGCAAAAAAAATAGTTAGCATTTGGAGATATGGAGATATTCTCACTTGGCTATGATATTTTTATTGGCATTTTATTTATTTATCAAATTTATATGGCTGTCCATCTCACAAAATGTGACTCTTAATCTGAGGATATAAAATGGTTTTAAATTAAAATTCAAGATTTTCTAAAAACATATTTTATTACTGTTGAAGTAAGAGGCATTCCATAGGGGGCAGTCAAAAGCATTGGTGTAAGCAGACTGACCTCCACTGCATACAGCCTTTAAGGAGATGGAGAATGTTACTTAGCACCAATATTTAAAACTTTTTTAAGCAACAGAGGTCAAAAGTAATATCTTCCCACTGAGAAGGAAAGATGAGGCAAGACAAGAGGATAATTGGCATTTCTTAAATACAAGTTTTCTCATGTTCACTGTGGCTCTTTCCAAAAGACAAGACTGAATATAGTAAGAAAGCATTGGATTTCAATTGTGGACGGAGGTATGGTGTCCCTTTAGGCCAGAGGTGGGGAACTATTCCCCTTCATGACTTGTGGACTACAACTCCCAGAAATCCTGAGTCAGCACGGCCCAGCATGGCTGGCTCAGGAATTCTGAGAGTTGAAATCCATAAGTCATAAAAAGGCCATTCCTACTTTACACAATAGATACCAATAGTTAGGGAAACTGACTTGGCAGATGAACACAGAGATACCAATTTGGATATAGCAAAAAAGGTGAGTGCAAAACTGAGGACCTTGCTTTTCAAAATAAGTGAGAAGACAGGATGAAATTTCCAAATAAACTATACAATCTATAATTACATAAAGGCAATTTTTGCTACATTTCTCCAACAACTACAAAAGTTACATGTCAAATGTATCAAAATAACTGCAGTCATTTTATCAATTTTAATAGATAGAAATAAAAATAAATAAAAAGGAAATATTCACCTCAAAGGTTCCAGCCTTCAGAAGGTTTACTTGGTCATGTTGGGAAAGATCTCGGAAACCAGGAACACGCTTGGCAAATTCCACTACTTCCTTTACTGCGGGGGTAAAGCTCATGGAAAATTCTTCCCAGACTTCCTGACCAGACTTATTTGGATCCACAAAAGGAGTCTTGTTCATTGGGCAAACCTGGATATTTACATACATATGGAATCAAAATGCTACTCTAAACCCTTATTCTTTTCAAAAACCATGAAACTGGCAGTCTTCGAATATAATACAATTATTCATAATTAAAACAGTTCATAATTAAAAATGCTAAAGAGTATGTTCCAAAAATATTAGAATCTAATTAAAATTAAGGATTACTTCTTATCAAGAACATAATGAAACCTTTCATAAAAGAAACCTGAGTATGAGCATCTAAACTCTATTTCCCACAATATTTTATACTTGCAAACTTAATAGTACATTCGCAGAGCATCTTTGCATTACAATTTTGGAATGGCTGTGATAATTTTATTCCCATCTAGTGCAATTGGTAGGCAATTACACTGACTATCCAGAAAAAAAAAATTATCTTGACTGTAAGTGCATTACTGTAATCTTAATTTTTTTTCACTTCACTTTAAGGTTTTAAAAAACTGTTAAGTCCTAAAATGTTTGAATTGCTTATATGCACATTTCTCCTCATAATTTCTATGCTATTTAAAAAATATAGCACAGTGTGAAAGAATCACAGAGAATGTACTTTCAGCTTCAAGTGAAAATGCTATGGGAATGATCACTATTCACTTGGTTTGTTTAACTGATGCACATTTACACAGAAAGTCACACTACAATTAGTAATTAGTTAATATTTGTGCCCCCCCCCCACTTCCAATTGAATTCATACCAGCATTTGTTTTAAAAACATATGAGGGAGGGAATTTGTTCACCTTAAAGTGACTTCCCAAGTGGAAATTTTCTTCAACTATGTTAATATTCCAACTACAGGGAGTCCTCAAACTACAATTGATCACTTAGCAACTGTTTGGATTTACAATGAATCCAGAAAAAGGATTGAAATTCCAACAATACGAGTCCCTCCATTACATGATCATGTTTTGGACATCTAGCAACTGGCCTGCACTGATGGGTGTTTGCAGCATCCCAGTCACCAGTTTTTCTTTTTGCTGGAAATGGATATTTACTTCCAGTTTCCAGCAAAAAATGGATTGGCTAAAATGGATTTGCTTAACGATTATGGGGTTCACATAATAACCACTGGAGCTGGCATCAGAGAGAGGGAGAGAGAGAGGGAAAGAGAGCACTGCCTTCCCTTTTTAAGGCTCTGCAATCAGGGCTTCTCAAAGCCCTGATTCGAAGAACAAAGGTTTATCATTTTTCTTTTTCTTTTCCACACTCTTCTTTTGGCATGGTTGCTTTATTTCAATGGAAATGGCTTCTTCCATTGAAGCCAATGTCTTCTAAGAATTGTGGATTGTGCTTGATGGTTTTATTCCAGGAAAGTCAATCTGAAGCATCTTATAACTATCAGGCTTAGGAGCCACATTCAGAAAAGTTTTAGAAAAGTGAGTGTAGTTCTTTTATTCTTTCTGAAGCCAGCAGCAATGCCTCAATACTGTCCAGGAGCATGGGGAAGGGGGGATTTTAAGACACTAGAACTGAGGGCTGGTTTTAGCCATTTTCTCTGTCTTCCTCTTCTTAAAGGGTCAGGCTGGATGACCTTGTGAGAAAAAGAAAATAGCAAAGGTCAGTTGATATGGGGCTGGGTTGAAGTTTTCCAGATGTTCAGAAGCAGCCACCTTCTTCTCATCCTTGGAGTCTCCCAGGCATTTAGAGCTTTCCTTGCCTTTCTCTTTGGAACTCTTGTCTCCTTCTTTAAACAATGGAAGGACAGTATCAAAGCTTCTTTAGGGGGCGACACACACACACACACACACACACACACAAACATGTGAAGGAATATTTGACGTTTGTGTATGCGAATGTATCTTCTGTGTTTCTTTCCTTAAAGTTCTTCCCACTCTATATAAACTCTGGCAGATTGTTATCTTTCTTTTGAACTGGTAGTCCTTTGGATAGTAGGGTGAAATTCTTGGCTACTGCAGATAGGTAGGACCTGGTGCTGAGTGGTGCAGGCAGGCAGGCTAAATAGTTAGGAGGCAAGGCAAAATCTATGGCAACTGCTGCCACGGTAGGGAAAGACAACTGTGGGAGGGAAGCCACTGGCAGGGGTGCTTAGGTGACTGTTTTATTATAGCTGCTGAGAAAATAATGTCTGCTTCTATGGTAAAGCCAAGTGGTTTAAGGACACAAAAGAGGAGAGTGGTGCAATCAGTGGCAGATGTTGGGTGGGAAGTAGACCCAAGGCCTGATGGGAAGAGTGGAGGGGGTCAGTACTGCAGTGTACCTGTGGTCAATCATAAAGGCAAATGATTGTGGGCGATGTTGTCATTTCAAACGGTTGCTAAGTGAATTGTCGTATCTAGAGGATTACCGGTATACTCTACTGCATTATTGTTAACAGGACTATGTGATTAATTTAAGCTTATGACAACTTAAGTATTTAATAGTTGTAATACCAGATGCATTCTGCCTCCAGTGCTGCAGGAATACGCATTCAGAGATTCAATGGAAGAAAAGCCATTTTTGAGCATTTTATTATACCCTTTTGTGGTAAAGCCATTGGTGAAGTTCATAGAATGGAAGCAAAGATTATACCCACTTGGATGGTGCATATTGTTTTGCCCTTTATACTGTCCATTGAAATGTTTAACATTCCCATTTTGAAGCACACTGCTTATGCTACCATGATCAGCTTCACCATCAGAATTGTATTGATCCAGGTATTTAAGATTTTTTCCCCCATTTGGAGGCTGCAAAACAGTGGTACGATCTTCTGGTTGTTCCTGATTGCACATAAACGTATCTTTGTGAGCACTAGTCACCATGCCAATCACTTCTTCCTTGGCAATGTCAGAGGGCAGAGGTAAAGCAGGACATAGTGGAGGAGGAAGGGGAGAAGAAGAGGGCCTTTTGGCAGTTACTTCTTCTTGCTTTAGTTTGGAGTTCAGCTGTTCCTGAGGCACTAAGAGCAATGCTTCCTGGCTATCTTTTAATGTTTCACTGGACAAGTGATCACTGAACTGCGTATTCATCATGGTTTTCATCGCACTTTGCATTTCAATTATCATCCTCTGCTTTTCTCGTTTAGGAATTCGGCCAAATCGAACAGCTATAAGGAAGACAGAGAGAGACTTTAGTTTTACATTATATCCAATTTTAATAAGAACCCATTGCATTCTTCCTTAAGAATTCACATCATTGATTAAACACTGAATTTATTTGACAGCAAAATTGTGAATAAGGACCAAAAAACTACCCTACTGATTCTTGGACCTGAAATTCTAAAGATGCATTTTTCTCAAATGTGAGATACCACATGGAATAGAAGAGAATTCATACACAACCCAAGCGGTGTTTTCAAATGTAAAAAATGAGGTAAGTTTTTAAAGTTCTTTTTCCCTCAAAAAACCAATTGCACATTTATGCTGCTTCTGGACAGAAACGGCTGTTGAAAAGGAAGTTGACTTTTATAAGTATTCTCTCTTTCCTTTGCCTCTATTCTTTTTTGGGCTTGATTGTCTTGTACTGCTTGGTACTTTATTGTATTTTATTTCCTTTTCTTAATATAACTTAGGAGTTGTCCAGAAAACTGTGTTATTAATAAAGCAATGAAATAACCTGTAAAATAAAAATAAGCATTTTTCTTCTCAACAATGCAGGCAGGAATGCAAACATTATTTTCATGATCAACGGAAAAAGAACAGAGAGACAAAACTTGAAATATACAACTTGGAATGAAAATAGCAAAAATTTAGTAACCAGGGCACCTCACAGTTTGGGAGTTATAGTGGCAGTGCTGGGTTTCAAATTGTTTTAGAACCTCTTCTATAGATGTGGCCTGCTTTGTGGGAGTGGCTTGCCTGCCATGTGACTGAGTGGGAGTGGCTTGGTAGTCATGTGACTGGGTGGGCATGGCCAACTTGTAAAATGTGGTGAAACTCATTTAACAACACTCTTGTTTACCAACCAAAATGTTGGCTCAAAAACTCTGGCATTTGAAGCACGCAAGTCTTAAAGCTGTCAAGTTACAAGACCCTTGCACCCCTAACCTTTTAGGAAAAAACCCCCAGGGGTGTTCAAACTTGACAGCTTTAAGACTTTAAGGTTTAGATCGGACTCTTAGAGGTGGGTGGGGTGATTGGTGAGCCAGCCAATCAGTGAGCAGCGGGCAGGGTAAGCGGGGTGCAGATGGGTGGGGGGAGGGAGCTGGAACCAGTTCTAAATGGCACAGTAGATTTGTGGAACAACTGGCAGGCACCCACCCCTGTATTGTGGTTATATCCAAAGATGGCAGACTGGCTATATTGAGATACTTTGGCTTGAGAAAAATGAAAACCAATTTGTCTGCAATGTAGATATTCAAAAAAGGCAGACATGGGCAAAGTAACATTAGAAGCACTATTAGACTAACTATAAGATTGTAAATATACTTGCCCTGTAATTATTTTTTTAGTTCCTTACTTTGCTGGTCTTGCACAGGATATTTGTGGTTTGTTTAGAGTAGTGTGTCCTTTGCAAATTCAATTAATCAAGTTACCAGGCCATGATTAATTAATAATGGTGTGAAACTTCCCATTTACTAGATCATTCCTCAAAATCAGTACTCAAACTTGGCAACTTTAAGATGTATAAAATTCAAGTCCCAAAATTGGCTAGCTAGGAAATTATGAGAGCTGAAGTTCACATATCTTAAAGTAACCATATTTGAACAACATTGCTCAAAAAAAGAAAAAAGGCAGCTCTAGGATAGGCAAACGAATTTATGGGATCCCAGGCTGATTTTCTATATTGGAGGTGTGTGTGTGTGTGTGTGTGTGTGTGTGTGTGTGTATGTATGTATGTGTATATATATATTTCCAGGAATAGCATCTAATAAAGTTAGCCAAATTACTAGTCAGTTTGAATTTTCTTCCTTGAAAATTATCCTCTTAGAAAATCCTGTTTGGAAATTTGCGTTGTTTCCAGTGATTAACAAATAGCAAAGTCAAGATCCTGTGATAGTCTAAAAGAGTCTTTTATGTTTTTTCTCAATGATTAAGATCCCTTATAAGTTTTCTGGTAACTTAACTAAGTAAAGACTGTAAATATTAGTAACTTTTATTTTCTCTTTTCGTTAATCAATATACCATATTGAAATTTCTTAAGCCATTTTACATAGCATTGGAAGTGGCTTTATTGTACACCACACCATATTAAGGTACAATATATATAAAAAAGCTGAGTTATGTCTGGAGATGCAACACAGTCATAGATTTATGAGTTGGATACATTTTTTTCATTATTTTAAATCATACAAATGGATTGCTACATACACTATATTGCCAAAAGTATTCACTCACCTGCCTTTATTCTCATATGAACTTACTGTAAGTGACATCCCACTCCTAATCCATAGGGTTCGATATGACCTCGGTCCACCCTTTGCAGCTATAGCAGCTTCAACTCTTCTGGGAAGGCTTGTACGCAATGTTTAGGAGTGTGTTTATGGGAATTTTTGACCATTCTTCCAGAAGCGCATTTGTGAGGTCACACACTGATGTTGGACGAGTTTCCACGTTCTTATAATATAGCTGACAGTTGACTGTGGAAATTTTATGAGCGAGGAAATTTTATGATTGGATTTGTTGAACAGGTGGCATCCTATCACAGTTCCACGCTGGAATTCACTGAGCTCCTGAGAGTGACCCATTTTTTCACAAATGCTTGTAAAAATAGTCTGCATGCCTAGGTACTTGATTTTATACACCTGTGGCCATGGAAGTGATTGGAACACCTGATTCTGATTATTTGGATCGGTGAGCGAATACTTTTGGCAATATAGTGTATTTAACATGTAAACATATAAGGGGTCCTGACAGCCCATGCTGCCTTGTATAGTTGAAGATGTAAACATCCTCCTCACAAACATGGTTTAGAGCACTTTGTGAATAGGGCTACTTATTCCCTCCATTGTGGACACCGCTTATGTTGTGAATGTAAGCTCATATGATCCCTGCATTGTTTAACCATCATAAATCTGAATCAGTTGCCAAGCATCTGAATTTTTATCATGTGACCATATGGACATCACAATAGTTGTAAGTTACTTTTTTCAGTGTTGCTGTAACTTTGAATAGTCATTAAACAAACTGTTGTAAATAGAGGACTATCTGTATTCACAAATGCTCACTGAGATTACAAAGTCTTGTAGGAACATATTTCATGTTCTAGCATCATTTCCATACTTGTGACTTTATGGTTACAGTGCGATTGGAAGCAGAGCACAATGTTAACCTCTACTTCATTACCATTTTTATAAAACGTCCATTTGAATTAAACACAAAACGTACAATAATTCACCTTTTGAAGGTCACTGCTCAATATAGAAACATACCATCTCTTGACATTCCTACTGACAAGCATTTTTTGAATCGGCACTGCTGACACCTGTTTCTATTCATTCTCATTATAGAGCAGTTGTTATTCTTCAGGCACTTCTTATATTGAATATTTTGCTGAATGCTTCTCCTAAAGAAACCCTGAAAAAATAAGCAACTATTTTAGGGTTGTTGTTTTTTGTGTGTGAAGAAGCTTCCAATTATATCATATGAATACAATCTTGGATGTTTAATCTTGAAAATAAGATTTATGAATTTTTGTTGTGATTAAAAACCATGGAACAAAACACACACAGAATATTCTTCTTAAACTTTAAAGAATATTACCCCTAGCTTTGCTGAAGGTACTTATTTAGTAGAAAATGAAAATATTTTAAATTTGGCAATTTTGCAAATAAAACATACACTATATTTCAGACAGTCAGCAATAATTATAGTCATTCCTAAATTCATATCCATTCTTTGCTACCTTAAGCCATTTATATTAGAAAAATTACCTTGCAGCCTTCACAGGCATGGACCCCATAGTGAAATCCTGAAGCAACATCTCCACAGACTTTACACAGCAAGACCATGCCATTAAATTCTAAAAATGCAACAGTATGAAAGCTCAGTAGTAACATGGCAAATGAAGTACGGATAGATTTATTGTTATGTAATGTAATGTAAAGGAATATAATGCTGTGCACCTGCCTTCTTAGATCATTATTATACACATTTCAAAGAACAATAAAAATATTTTAGTAAAGAAGTCAGGAAAAAATTAAGCTGTATAGTTTTTAAATTTAATGTGTCATTCTAGGAAAAAAAACACTCCTAAGAAATCTGTGCAGAGTCCCTTTGAAAAACTCCTATGCCCCATTTCATTGAAACTGCTGATGAGTTTGAACTTATTGCCAAACATGCCCTCCAAACTGCATCCAAAATTTTAAGGTGAAATGTGTCTTGCTGTTAAATCTGTTGTTCGTTTGTTCATTCATTGGTTTTGTATGCCGCCCACTCCCGAAGGACTCCGGGCGGCTCACAATAAAACAGGGGAGGGGATAAATAAGACAATACAAACAATATTAAAATACACAACTTACACAATTTACTGTGTAAATTATTAACTAATACTCAGAGAATAAAAACTTGTTTAGGACAAATAAAAACTGATGCATCTGCTCTATGTAACTGCTCTATGTTACTCCATATCATGTTATTGTGAGTACAATAATAGCATAGATCAGGGATAAAATTCAGCAGCTTCTGACAGGTTCTGTAGTGGAAATTTTGAGTAATTCAGCGAACTGGCAAACACTACCTCTGGCTGGCCCCAGAGTGTGGTGGGAATGGAGATTTTGCAATATCCTTCCTCTGGAGTGGGGACAGAATGAGGATTTTGCAGTATCCTTCCCCTGAAGTGGGGTGAGAATGGAGATTTTGCACTATCCTTCCCCTGCCATGCCCACTAAGCCATGCCACCAGAACCCATAGTAAAAAAAAATGAATTTCACCATTGGCACAGATGTATTAGATTTGAATGCCATCTGAAAATTTCTTTGTTCAGAAACAAGGCAATAGTTTATCAAATAAACACAAATGTTTCAGCAAGTGATGGATTGAAACAAAAAAAAAATTTAAAGGCTATCTGATGCTGATTTATGAATTGATAAAATATCATCACTTATTAATATGTTGCAAGAAGTTCCAAGTAACAAAGGTTTAGGGAATCAACAATTTCACTTTTGATCATTGAATTTAATTATTTGGGTAATAAACCAGGTAAAGTTGTTTTCTGAGATTGAATTATTAGGAACCCTGCAAAAAGTAATAAATTAATAAGTTATTATTAAAGTTGGCAAAACTTGAATAATCAGAAAAAGAGATGTTCATTTAAATGATTTTTTTTTTACAATGGGTATTCAGGTACTCTTCAGAAAGGAAAATTCAGTGCTTTCACTAATATTCCTGACACCACTAATAATGAATTGGTTATAGGATTGGCAGCTAAATAAGTTTCAAAGTTTCAAAGTTTCATAGCATTTGTATGCCGCCCAATCCTGAAGGACTCCGGGCGGCTAACAATACAATAAATAAAAAGAATAGAAGAAAGAAAAGATAGATTTAAAAACACACCATGCACTCCATTCCAAGTGGGGCTGGACCATATTTTGGGGTCAACAGCCCCAGGCCTGCTGGAACAGCCAGGTTTTAGTGGCCTTACGGAAGGCCGAGAGGGTGGGAAGGGTCCGGATCTCTGCGGGGAGATCATTCCACAGGGCCGGAGCAGCTACAGAGAAAGACCTCCCCCGAGTAGTCACCAACCGGCATTGCCCGGTCAACGGTACCCAGAGGAGGCCCAATCTGTGTGATCTTATAGGTCGTTGGGAGGTATGTGGCAGGAGGCGGTCCCGTAGGTATCCAGGTCCTAAGCCAATAAATATTTTAAATAAATAAATAATAAAATATAACACATATTTTAATATTTCAAAAGTGGAAACAAAATAGTCATAAAAATATTGTACTGAAGTATCATTGTTGAGTTTTGTGGCATGTTCTTAGTACTTTCAGGTAGTCTTGCCTTACCAATCACAACTGGACTGGCAACAACTCAAAGTGAAAAATCAGCACTTCTGCTTATTGGAAACCGATTGTGAAGTTTGCAAATGCAATCACATGACTGCAACAGCTATAATGGTCGTAATTGTGTGGCAGATGCAAAGTGCCTGAATGGTGATCATGAGACCACAGACAGATGTGATGGCATAAGTGTGGGGATTGGTTGCAAAGCTATTTTTCAACTCTTAATTTCAAATGGTCACCATACAAAGCAATGTGTAAATAAGAAATAACTGTATCTAATAAAAGTTTTATTAGGGTGGAAGCCAGCGGAAGCAAATATGCTATTTCAGAACAAATGTGCTGCAATCCTAAGAAGTTCCAGATTCAAAGCCAGGTGTCTCCGAGCTAAGTAGTACAGAAATTACAGTACTACTTAGCTTACAGTACAGTGTAGGAGTCACCAGTTACCGAGAGTTTAAGAATCTGCAGACAAGCAAATAAGATATTACAAAAATATAATCAGGTCTGCTAGAAAGCATACTTCTCAATTTGAATGTGTATTTTTTCAGTAGCAAATCTGAGAATTCCAAAATCTCAATTCTAAAATGCTGTGCTTTATGCATTTTAAATAGGGATGTTTCCTGACTGGGATTTCTTAGTAAACATTTCTCAATTTCTCATTTTTTCAAATTCAATTATGGACCTTGGGACAACATAGTCTGTTGGGCCCAATCTGACTATGAAACAGTAATATGCCAGTATGGCAGTTTGAGCATCAGAACTCCGGTTTAACTAGAATAATGGAAGTCAGAGATTAAGTGATGAAGATTTAATACTTCAGGCTACAAGCCATTACTGCCAAGCTTCAGATAAATGTATCTTGTACCTAAAAGTAGATAATCTAAGGATCAAATCAGATATCACAAGTTCCTCCTTTGGTTAATCTCATTTGCTATTACAATGTTACATGGGTGTGTCTAACTATTTTGTTCATCCAGACAGCACCTGGAAGCCAGGATATAGACAGCATTTACAAAGCTTCAATTATCCAACAAGTGAATACCACATTAATCGTAATAGCTAACCATGGGAAGAAAAAAGGAAATTCTGAGAATTATAGAAAAAAATGAAAGGCACCAAGAAACATAATGTCAAAAATGAGTGTTTTGTAAAAAGACTAATAGCACTTACTTGCAAATCCATTATGACTTTTTGCTGCTGAGGCACCACTCAATTGATTTCCCTTAGTGTGATTCTCAAACTGTTCACTGTTTGGTCTTCCATCAATGTGCTCTTTACTCTTGCTACTGCAGCTTCCTTCAGAGGAGGAACTGTTTGGTGATGGTGGCACAGGGGAAGAAGAGGACTGAAAACTGTTGTCTGAGCCTTCACTGTGACAGGAAGCCGGGCTAGATGCAGAGCTTGAAGAGCTTATATAAGCAATTACACTTCCTGGAAAAGAACACAGAAGTACAACCATTATCTTTAGTCAGAGGTCAGCATCCCCTCTTCTTATAACATTATTCGAAATTCCTTTTGATTTTCAGAAAACAGTATCTACTTCATCATCTGAAGCCCAAGATTCAAATTTAATTATATTGCCCTAACCAAGAGAATGTGCTCAGAGAAAAACAAATGGCGTTTAAGTTGCTTTTGTTTTTAAAGACACAAGAATACAGTCAGCGGTGAATCCAAAATATTGCAAATTTGATTTTCATATCTATTAGATAGCAAGCATAGTAAGATATTAAGACACAAAGTCAATAAACTTTATAAATTTACAGAATAGCTTTCAGCAGCAATGAACATTAAAAAAAAATAGCCTAGAGAATCATTTTGCAAGTTTTCCAAGTTATACAACGACTGGAAGGGTAACTCCTAGAATGTATATGTAAAAATTATACATGTTGAATGATACAAATTTACAACAGTCCAAATATTGCACCTGGCCTTGGTAGAAATGAGAAATTACTTTGGAAGGAGGTGAAAAAGGCCAAAGGATCCTTCAGTGAATAAAATTAAAAATAAAAGTAATTAAAGTGATATGAGATTAAATTGAATTAAGGAATGCTAAAAGAAATATTTTAGATATTTATATGGGAAAGACAGTGACATGTATAAGAGTGATATTGAAACAAATGCTGTTGTGTTCAAGACAAACATGAAATGCAAGTCACCAATGCAATTGTTTAACATGGGCATTAGAATTGCATCTATAAATGATTGATCAGATGTATGATATTACTATTTCCCTATTTTAAAAAAAGGATTTAGTAGGGTGTCCAAAAACTATAGGATAATTACTTTAAGTATGTTCTGGAAATGAGCCAAATTATCACAGTTCATAATGAGAAGAATTTGGAAAGTGCAATTTAAGAATTTACATTAATAGAGTTTTGCAGGAAAAATACAGATTAACATTCTCTCTTAGATGTGACCCAATATTAAATGACTTTCAATGATTTGATTTGTGTGCTCTCTAATAGTCAGCATAAAATAGGAAAATAAGGAAGACATGCATTTAAGTCCATAAACACAATTGTAGGTATTTTTTTTAAAGCACTCCATAATGCCATAATCATCACATAGTGACTATCATTAAACTACAATTTATCATGCAGATTGGATCCAACTGAGTTTTCATTTAACAGATTAACTTGTCTTGATGTCTCTGGTGATCTATGATGTTTTTATAGTCTTTATGAAATTACTTAGCACAGACTTTAATAGCACCAAACAATGGCATTAATATGAAAAGCATTAGGAAGGGAAAAATGGGTTACTTTTATTGCATTACAAATAAAATAGAGAAATGGAGTTGCATAATGGAATAGTGCAATGTGTCAGGTAGTGTCATCTTAAAACAATAAGAACTCAAAATTCCCCTGCCCCCTGCAGAACATTAAATATAGTTTAACTAGAAGTAAGAATCAAGAATTAAATATAAGTGATACTATAAATGTTTTTGCACTTTTAGTCTTACAACACGGTTATTTATGTATAAAAGTAAAATAAAAAATAATAATAATTCCAGAGCACTTTTAAAGGTTTAGTAAGACAGAACCATGAATAAGACCCCAGCCTCAATAAGTTTCCCACTGATACTCTATTTCAAATACCCTTCACAAAAGATCCTCAGAGGATCATTTCAAATAATAACATTAATAAGAACCATACACAAAGAATGATTTCTAAATTTGCAGAACAGTGTCTTAACCTTTGTGCTTACCAGATGTGTGCTGATTTCATACATCATCAGACTACAATAAAAATTACATCTGAATAACAGGTTTTGAGAATGGAATTACAAAACCAGGGAATGATAATATGGTACATTGGTGAGGCATCTATTATTAGTGTTTTGTGCCAAGCAATATACATTTTTAAAGAGGAATATTATTTCCATTCCATTGAAAAAAAGAAAAAAAAATTAAGGATACGCTATCAAATAGTAAACATGCACTCTATTTTACAAAAACAAGTTTTTAATTTAACCTGAAACAGAATTCTGATAGCAATGCACTTAACATTTTATGCTGTTTTTATATACAAAATAAAGTTGCATATATCATTATGTATTTCCAGAATTTTCTACCAATTTTCTAGTAGCTTATGTGTACGTGCAAATCTATGTACATGGTTTATCATATAAAATGAGAAATAAAACAAATGTATCAGATCTTTTTAGAAAAAATGGCTTTAATTTTGAGTAAATTGTATTGCCATTTTAATTCTAATATTTACCTGACTCTTATTTATTCTAAATCTAGTATTCTTTTTAAAAAATCTGTCAGATTTCTTTAACACAATTCTCATCTAATCATATTTCAGAATTTCAATAATATGCCAACTTTGGACATGTAAAACCATGTTCACTTAGCATAATTAATCATATGTAAGTACTACTTAAAGTACCCTTAAAAATTGGACTAGAAGATAAGAATATAGAGGAATATAATTATTATGATTTAGAGCCTACTTACTGATGGCTATAAGCCATCTCTTCACAGAAAATCATTGTAATGTACTCCAATGTCAACTTGTTAAAACCTATAAATAACTTGGAATCTCAAGAGGCTCAGCAATCTTTGCTTAATACATAAGTAAATAAAAAAGAGCATTGAGGAAAAGTAGTAAACATTTTCATAGTAAATGCACATCAACTGTGAAAGAACTGCTATTTGATATTCATAAGCAATAATGCTGACATCAAATTATCGTAATTAGATAGTGAGGAAAAATGGCAACTAGAAATAACCTTGCTTATTCACCTATGAAATACAATGGAAAGAAAAAACTCCAAGATCATTTACGTATTTACAAATTCTTCAGTTTAATGATAATGGTTTAATAGTTCTGTTTGTAGCAACATGACAAATTTCACTTTAGAAAACATTATAGAAGAAGAAACACAAATAAAATGGCCAGAATAATCCATCCTCTGCTATTCTTTTCTATTGTAAAGTATTAGTTTATATGAATGGCACATAAACATAAGTACACACATATTTTGTAGATAACATAAAGTAAAAGGTAAAGATGAAGTTATGTCTTACTTTAGGGCTAAGTGATCCTCTCTGTTTCTTAGCCAAGGGAGCCAGCATTATCTAAAGATATCTCTATGGTTATGTGGCCAGCATGATTATGTATCAAAGCACATGGAAAGCTGATACCTTCCCACCAAAATGGTACCTATTTATCTACTTGCATTTGCATGCTTTTGAATTGTTAGATGAGAAGGACTGGGGCAAGTATTGGGAGCTCATGCCATTGCACAGTACTCTGGTCTGGAACCCAGGCTATCAGCTTTCCAGATGACAAGCTCAGTGTCTTTAACCACTGAGTCTTTGCACCCCATATGGTGCAATTCTTTTTAAATTATTATCACAGTGATGTTCAGAAAACTGAAGTGATTAAATAGCCTTACAAGGAGAAACATAATTAATTCAAGAAAAAAGCAAGACAAAGTGTTTTCAAATTAGATTCCCACCCCCACCCCAACCTTGAGCAAAATAGTTAAAGGACTCCTTGTAGGACATCTGTTTTGGTGGTGTAAATGATTTTCCTCCAGATGTGTGTTTTCCATATAGTAGTCCTCAACTTGCATTCATTTGGTGATCATTTGAAGTTATAATGGCACTGAAAAAAGTGATTTAGAATCGGTAATATTTTTGACCATTTGCAGCACAATCCCAATTAGGTGATCAAATTTTGGGTGCTTCGCAACAGCTATTTATGATGGTGGCAGCATCTATTGGAATGATTGCCACTTGCAAACATTGCCAACCAGCTTCTGATAAGCAAAGTCAATACTTTGGAAGTTGGATTTTCTTAATAACCACATGATTCCTTTAACAACTGCAGTGATTTGCTTAATAAAAATAGCAAATAAAGGTAATAAAATCAGAAGCAGCTCACTTGCTTTGTTTAGCAATGGAAATTATGGTCTCAATTCTGGTCATAAGTTGAGCATTATCTGTAGTCTGTATTGTTATGTTCTAAATTGTTTCATGTTATGCACAGGTACAGTACCTTCTTCAATAGTAGTAAATGTGAGCGGGATCTTGGAGTCCTAGTGGACAACCATTTAAATATGAGCCAGCAGTGTGCAGCAGCGGCCAAAAAAGTCAACAGAGTTCTAGGCTACATAAACAGAGGGATGGAATCAAGATCATATGAAGTGTTAATATCACTTTATAATGCCTTGGTAAGGCCACACTTGGAATACTGCATTCAGTTTTGGTCGCCATGATGTAGAAAAGATGTGGAGACTCTAGAACGAGTGCAGAGAAGAGCAACAAAGATGATTAGGGGACTGAAGAGTAAAACCTATGGTTGCAGGAACTGGGTATGTCTAGTTTAATAGAAAGAAGGACTAGGGGAGACATGATAGCAGTGTTCCAATATCTCAGGGGTTGCCACAAAGAAGAGGGAGTCAAACTATTCTCCAAGGCACCTCAGGGTAGAACAAGAAGCAATGGATGGAAACTAATCAAGGAGAGAAGCAACTTAGAACTGAGGAGAAATTTCCTGACAGAACAATTAATCAGTGGAACAGCTTGCCTCCAGAAGTTGTGAATGCCCCTACACTGTAAGTCTTTAAGAAAGTGTTGGATAGACATTTGTCTGAAATGGTATAGGGTTTCCTGCCTAGGCAGGGGGTTGGACTAAAAGACCTCCAAGGTCTCTTCCAATTCTGCTAATGTATTGTATTGTATATGTTACTCAGACTTAATGCATAAATAACAAGATGGTTAGTCAAATTCATAAAGAAAAATCCTGCCAACTAATAAATAAAGAAGCTATATTCTGGATTATTCTATGAGTTATAAGTTGCCTTTAAGTCTACTAGAATGAGAGTGAGCTTCTCAGCACTATATTCCTTCCTAACCAAAAAGAATTTACCTTACAAGAAGCAAAACAAGACACCATCTGATCCACCAATCTTTTTACATTCTTTTTCTTATACCTTTGTATTTCATTTTTGTAACTACATATTAAACAGATCCAAAAGAAACAATTGCTACTGACATTCTATTTACCTATATGATTAAAAAACCTTTTTTTACTCATCTAAATATCACCTTTCAGTTCAACTTTATTTTATTTCTCTAAGATATACTGTATATCCTTATATAATTTTTTTTCTATTAAAATTCCATTATGTTTGCAATTTTATCAACTTGTACAATAGGCACTTGGGGCAAGACATTTGGGGCAATTGCATACAGCCATTACTCACCTGTACTTTCTACAGTTACTGAATTGGGAGGGAGAGAACCATTCCCTCCACTATCCAGTCTTTCATAAATAAATAAATAAAGCATTCCAATTCTCTCAGTCTTAAGCAAACTGCCTAATTCAGTTACGCAATCCTCTGGAGTCTATACATGTTATACCACCTGACTTTATCTATTGCGTAAGCTCAGTCATCAGAGAAAATTGTTCTGCAACCTTCCTCCAACCTGTTACATTACTGTTATGCTACAGTTCATAGTCCATGTGAGAGTGAAGTCTCTGTGATGACTGGATTCCTATCACATGGGCAGACACACATAAGAAAAAACTGCAAATAACTGAAAATGCTTTCTGTCCTAGAAGGAGATATAAGCAAAATTGTGATATTCCAAAACTACTGAAAATGCTTTCAAGTAAGTCTAATTCTCAAGCGGATGACTGTAAATACAAAAAATTGGTAAACACATTTACATGAGAGTAAATGTGAGTAGAAACCATGAACACAGCCTGAGTAAGTTTCAAGACAGTATTTTTAGCATCAACTGCACTTCAATAAAATGTAACTGTACATGTCTGCTCAAACAGATCTATAGTAAGAGTAAACTCAATGACATATTGCTTCCTTTTGGCCTTCCGAGGGTTGTACAGACCTGGTTCTTTCCTAAGCATTAGACTAAAGAAGGGGTTGAGCTAGGAGGATGTTTGATCTGGCAACTAGGGGGAGAGGGTACTTTTGTTTTTAACCATGTTTTATAGATTGTTGTGAAATTTCTGGAATCATTATGACATAGGAGGCCCATACATGTACTGTAAATTAGTGAATGAATGACTGAATGAATGAAGGTAAGTTGGGAAATAACTGCATTAGTTTTTTCAGGAAAATTCAGCGACATATCAAGCTTCCCATATGTTCTTTCTCCTTTAAATTTCTGATAACTCTTCTTGTTTTTCAAATAAAAATAGTTCACTTCATCTCCCATCTTTTTTTTCCAGAACTAGGAAAATATTTAGCCGTTTTTAATCTACATTTGTTTTCTCTGAAAACAGGCCACTGAACTTAACATAACAATCTTTTAATATATAAGGTTCTCTCACAGAGAAGGAGCGGAGGAATCAATCTATTATCCATAGGACCTAAGGGAAAGGCAAGGAATGGAAAATCAACAAAGAGAGAACAACCTAGAAATAAGCAAAAAATTTCCTGAAAGAACAATTAATCAATGGAACAGCCTGCCTCCAGAAGTTGTGGGTGCTCCATTACTAGAAATTTTAAGAAGAGACTGGCCAGCCATTTATCTGGAATGATATATGGTCTCCTGCTTAAGTGGGGGGGGGGTGGTGGTGGATAAGAAAACTTCCAAGGTATCTTCTAATTCTGCTATTCTGTAACTTTATGATTATATATAGAATTGCTACAACTTTATATATCACTATATATAAAGTTGTAGCAATTTAATATACAATCCAAAAGTTTTAGAATCAGATGTTACAGAAACTTCTTGGTTTAAACTTCCTTCACTGTAGTCTACAAATTACAGGAGTTGTAGACCAATACAACCTATCTAATTAATTATATAGTAATAGCACTTACTGCTTCACAGTGCTTTACAGCCCTTTCTAAGTGGTTTATAGAATCAGCATATTGCTCTCAACAATCTGGATCCTCATTTTACTGACCTTGGAAGGATGGAAGGATGAGTCAACCTTGAGTTTGATGAGATTCGATCTTTACTAACTGCAGGTAGCTGGCATCCAGCAGAAGTAGCCCGCAATACTGCATTCTAACCACTGTGCCAGCTCTTATTGCTAAATTCTACATATAAATAAGTATATAGGATAACACAGGCTCATTTAGAAGAAAACAAACAGAAAAAAATGGAAAAATACACCACTGAACTCCTTGGTGCTTCCTGAGCTTGTTTGTTTGCTCGCAGACCTTTCATTACCACACTAGGTAACATCATCAGCGCTTATCTTATATTTCCCTCTGATCCTATCCTTGCTTATGGTTTTCTAAATTCAACTGATCACGATACTGATGAAATTTACTTAGCGAATGTAACCAAGCTAAAACTATCTATCCTCCATCACTTCGAGACCAAAAGTGATTAAACTCTGTCCAGCAGTTGAGGATGTCCGGTCAAGCATTCCGCTGCACGATGCCTCCCAATTCCAAGCGGAAACGGTCGCCTCCGGATCCTTTGTCTGCAGGGCAACTCCTTCTATTCACCAAGTACAAATCACCAATTTGCGGCGGAGTGAGAAGAGACAACGGGCGTGGCTGAATGAATAGTCTCCACTGCCTCCGCCCCCACGTGTTCCTTGTCCGCCGCGCCTGGATGTAGGTCACCAAAACAACGGACTCCAGCTGCTTACACGTGTCAGTCCACACGGTCTCCCAGCAAGACCGCCCAGCGCAATTATGCAATCTGGGCATCTCAGCAAGCCAGAGCCAATGAGGGCGCGCCTGGCACAGAACGTAAACAAAATGGCACACATGGCTCAGCTGGCCAGTCCATGTGAGGCGATGGAAAGGAAGCAATCAGTAGGAAACAGGGGCAGCAACTATGAGGAAGAAGGAGCGGCAGCAAGCCCAAACCTGCCCGCAAGAGCAAATGTCCAAGAATGATCTCTAAAATATAGTAGCCTTGCGATCCCAAAGAAAGAGTTGGATTCGTATCAAGGTCCAAGAAAGGGTTTTTTTTTCTCGCCAACACCTTTCCCATGCCGCATTACTTGTTTTTTTCATGAATGGACTGATAGCCAAACTAGACACCACTAGTATGTAACCTCTCATTCCTGCGCCGGGATCTGCCCTTTCAGTCAGCACAAATCTCACCAGCCGGTTTCGAATCATCCCTGCTTCAGAGGTGTAGAAGCCACAGGGCTTACTCTGTATCGCTTTGCTTTTGGAACAAAAACGCGAGAATAAACTAATAAGGCGACTTTCGAATCATTTAGAACCAAGACATTGGCCGAAACGACCATCCTTAATAAAAGCAGCTGCTTAAATACAAAATACAAAACTCCATCTGCCCAAATTCTCTTGCTGTAATTATCCCCTGGGGCAAACCCTGTGCCTTCCCGCACTTACGGTTGCGGAGTTCCGTCCCAATAAAGAATCCACTTACCGACACTCAATTCCATGCCTGCCTTTCTTCTCTAACAAGAACCTGTTGCCGAGGGCCGTGGTTTTTAAGGAAAAGGAAGCGGGACGGACTGCGGCTGGCCCTTGAGGAAGCCTCCTGAGCCACCGGCTTAAGAAGCCCACCCCGGTGCGTCTCTGGTGTCAGCTTCGAATGGGCTGCCGGAGCGCGCGGTGCAGAAGGGTGCCTCTTTCTGGGTCTCTTTTCTATGCCTCCGACCTGCGTGCGGAGGCAAAAAGAACCACTATAGCAACTGTGCTCATGGGAGGTGCACCCTCCTGCCCTGTGCGTGGAGCTGCCTCGTGCGCTGTTAGGCAGGAGGAGACGAAAGAGTGGCCGCAGAAGCCGCCGCCGAGCCTTCCTGAGGAAGTTTCTTGCTGAGTTGACTCCCTGTTAGGGCTGCTGCGACTCCCCCCCTCCTCTCCTTGACACCAGGGCAAGAAGAGTCAGCGGGAGTACGGCGCTGACCCACGTGCTTCTGCACTGCCATCCTTCCGTCCCTTCCTCTACCTGCGCTTCATTCGCTCTGCGTTGTCGCTTGGGCGTCTTTCACCTAGTGACACAGTTCCTTTTTTTCTCGGGAAGCCGAGGGGAGGTTAGAAAGAACAAGCTGTTCTCACGTGTAACCCCGTGTGGTGAGGCGGAACTGTGGATGTTGAACAGCGTCAAAAGAACAGAGAAGCAGGCTTGCCGGTTTCTTTCTTCCTTCCAACCGCCCTGCACCAGAAGATGGCTGACTTAGACATTTCCTTGAATTTTGGACTTCTTTCCTGGGTCAGAAAGAAAACTCCAGTGCTTCCAGCCTCTTGAGTAACTGTACTGTAGTATTATGGCAAATATCCATGGAGATTCTCAAAGGTGCTTTTCCAAAAGGCAACTGGGCTTTCTTGACACTCTTCCTTCCTTTCGCTTCTCCTTCAAGAAGCTTCTTCAGTTCTCTTATTCAAAACTGAAAGAAACAAAGAAAGTCCACTTGCCTTTTCGAAAAGCAATTTTGGGACTAGCCTTATAGTAATTATCACCTGGTTTGGGACAGAGCTTTCTGTCCTTAAGTACTTTATCTGACCACAGTTATCTTTCTCATAAAGTTTTCACCCATGCGTAAATAGCAAAAGGCAGGAATAACCACCTGTCTTAACTTCTATCCTTAGGATAAATATGATATACTATTTGTTATAAAACCTAATACAAGTGTTATCATACAGGCTTTCATGAATATGGACTGGATCCACATAAGTTAGATGAGGTTAGAAAAAAATATCTGCAGAAGTATTTAGTGCCTCCCAAAGCTTTATATGGTTAAGTCACATTTAGATGAAAAAAGTTCCTTGTTATAAATAATAGGTAACATACAGCATTAAGCTTAAAACAGAAACCTTTATTGTATAACAAATAGTCTGAAATATTTTGCAATTGTTTTATTAATGCTACATTAGCTTTGCATATAAAATTCACTTTCTTTAACATTTAATTTTAGGAATGATACCTAATATCATACAAACTTTTTATCTTTCAAGGTTTAAAGTTTCTGTTAAAAATCTCTGCTATAAACAACACTATACCTAAATAATATAAAATATAACTTTCATTTTATAATAATATAATAAAACAATTTAAGAAAGGAATATCATTTTGGGGGATATTTTCTGATCACCACCAACCCTTATTAAACAATATACCAATATAATAAAATGATCCTTCTTGATAACTGGATGAGCATCATGTTAAATATAATAAAAGTATTAAACTTTCATTATGCCATTCCTATTAGTATCTAATGCTATTCTTAGTATTAGTAATGTTGGAAATGGTAGTAATAGACAATTGTGCACCGAAAAAGGTGCTTTTGAGCCAATACCTTTACTAATAAATGATCTTGGGTTAGGGTAGGGGTGTCAAACTCAATTTCATTAAAGGTCGCATCAGGTCTATGGTTGACCTTGGGGGGGGGGGGGACTGGATGTGGGTGACTGGATCTGCGTGGCCAGCTTGATGCCTCTCCCCAAACTTTTAGCATGTTTCCTCTTCGCACTGGTTAGACAAGCCAAAGCCACACTGGCCCCATGTTTCCTTTCAATTGCATCAAATGCCAAACAAATGGCAAATATTGTTTAAATATATGTACATTTAAGATTTAGAACACTCCCTGCCTAACTTCTTTTGTATAGCGAGCTGTCTGAAATTAATGGGGAAAAAGATCTTGAGATCATAGTGGAGAGCATAGTGAAGATATTAACATGGTATATTCCAAGGTAATTCCCATGTTAAGAGATAATTAAGAAAGGGATTATAAATAAAACTGCAAAGATTGAAAAATGTCCTTTTTCAAATTTAAGGATGTTGAAGTTCTGAAATTCTTGTACAGTTATGTTTGCTCTATTGGGTATGAAAAAGGTTATAGTACAATAGAACTAGAAAAAGTGTATACAAGGCCAAGTGCATTGAAACGGTTCCACCACAAAACTGCGGACGACAAAATCGCGGTCGACGAAAGCGCGCATTTGACGTCATCACAGCGCGACGAAAACATCACGCTGTGATCGAAAAATGTAAAAATAAAGCGAAAACCTTACCCGAACCCCCCCAAACCTAACCCTAAACCTAACCCTAAACCTAACCCTTAACCTGAGCCTAAATCTAACCCTAAACCTAACCCTTACCTTTATGTGAATCGGCTTGCTTTAATTTTATTTTTATTTCAATTTTTAATTTTTTTTGTCGCGCAGTGATGACGTCAAATGCGCGTTTTCGTCGATTGCGCTTTTGTGGACCGCGGTTTTGACGGGTCACGCATTGAAACGCTTTATACCGTAAGGACTAGTGTAGGCCAAATAGGGAAAAGACAACTAAAATGGAACACACTTAAGGTAAATAAAGTCACACTGGGAATGGAAAAAGTGGACAGGGAGAAGCTGTCCTCTCAGAATACTGGTCATCAGGTCATCTAATGACTGCAGTGAAGAAAAAATAGTTTTTGTGATATATAATTAAGTTGTAGAATTCATTACTACAAAATGTGATTGTAATCATTTCCTAGAGATTAAACATATCAAAGGCTGTTTCTTTTTGAGACTTAGCACACTACCTTAGGATTTAGGGTTGCCTGCTTTAAATACTAGCTGAAGAGAAATAATGATGGTAAGGGTATTTCTCCATATTATAAGGACCTCAGAGGCATTTAGTTGCCTATTGTGCTTGGCTAAAGTGGGCATGATCTGATCCACATGGGTTGTTCTTAGCGAACTTTTTGTAAAATACCATTTTTAGAACATTAAATAGGTGTCATTCTTTCAATTAAATTAAGTACTTTGTCATCTCTCTGTCATAGTATCGTTGCAGAGTGACTTACTTTACTGACATGAAATATTTGCAGTAGAAATACAATGATGCAATTTGTTACCCTCACTAATTAATTACTCATATAACCATTTTATTATTAGCAATGTTCTTTTTAAGTAAAACTTTTCTAAATATTCTTCATTGCCATACAGTATTTCTTCAGATCAGGCTCAATTAGAAGGCTAAATCCAACATGTTTGCCTTCTTGTCTTCCTTACTAGCCCTGGATGCTTGGTGGATGTTTTTCTCACTAGAGGAAACCAACTAATCACTGAATCTTAGTTTGTACCTGCAAATCGTTAGGACAGCAAGACTGATTAGCCTAACTAATGAGGCAGAATAGTGATCAAAGGCTACAAAGGCTGAGAAAATTTGTGTTGCCTCAAAGACTGAAAGAATGAACGTTAAGCTTTGCTTGGATATGCAATTGTTTCCAGGGTTTACTCTGGATTCAGCCAAGTAGGATGCAAATCGTTTGCACCAATTATTTTGCAATTCTTCTTGTTTAATTTATGCTTGTGAAGGGATCTGAATGAAGCAAAACTAGTCTGAACAAAGCTTTCATTCTTTCAGTTTATTAATTACTGATTAATATTTGAAGAGTCCAACTGGAACATACCTAACTAATACCTTAATTTTTCTAAGAAAAGTCCAGACTCCATTCTTGCTATTAGCATAGCCTTCCTATTAAACCTCAGTTATTTGGTTGCCATTAATGGCACCATACTTCTAAATTTACACAACATATCTTATTCTAAAAATTATTTTGTTTGCATATGTAAACTAGTACTTAATTATTATTTGCTTTGTAACAAGAAAATGTTAATTATGTGGTTAATGTAGTTACATTTCTAGAGTTTGTCTATTACTATTTCCCTGATAACAAGATAGGAACCAGGATGATGTTTCTTGTCATTTGCCACAATCCTAAATTCTGCAGAATAACAGAACTGTCAATTGTCAGATTTGGTTCCTTTCATTTAACATAGTGATGAGGCCTTATCAGTATTAAAATATTGATCTTAGTATTGTTCTCCCGAAGTGGTGTGGACTGGCTGAATCCCACCACTGGGTCATCCTCAACTAATGACTATAAATGAGTCCAAAATTTCCATTGCTAAACAAGACGATTGTTAAGATAATTGTTAAGTCAGTTTTATCTTGGTTTGAGGGGTATTGAGATCTTGCCCCTGTCATGGTCAGACCACTTCCTGCTGAGGCTTGACTTTCGGAGACCAATCCCCCACTGTAGGGAGGAGGAACCGATTAGGTGGTTCCACCCCAGGGGCCTTATGGACCCTCCGGGCATTCAGACGGCGCTTGGTGTTATACCTGATACTCTCATCCACAGAGGTCGAGGCCTTGGTCGCTGCTTGGAACTGTTGAAAACCTGCATCAGAGCCTACCTCCTGGCAATTCGGACAACAAAAAACACATACTTTGCCGCTCTGATTGCTTCCGCTGAGTAATGCCCAGCCGCCTTGTTCAGAATAACCCGCTCCCTCTTGAAAGGGAGGGAAGCGGGCAACCCTTTACAAGGTAGAGCTGAGGAATTTGTCCAATTTCTCGTGGATAAAGTTGCTCGGCTTCGGGCAGACCTGGACTCCAATTGCTCAGAGCCAGCCGAGGTACCGGGGGAGGGTCTTGAGTGGAATTTATGGATTGACTTTCAACTTGTCACACCTGAGGAAGTGGACAAGGCCATGGGAGCTGTGAGCACCTCCACTTGCGTGCTGGACCCGTGCCCTTCCTGGCTGGTTGCTAACAGCAGAGAGGTGACACGCTGCTGGATCCAGATGATAGTCACCGTCTCTCTTCGGAAGGGGACCTTCCCGCCCCTCTTAAAGGCGGTGGTGGTGAGATCTTTGGATCCAGCCATTCTAAGTAACTACCGTCTAGTCTCCAACCTCCCCTTTGTTTGGAAGGTTGTTGAGAAAGTGGTGGCCTCTGAGCTCTGGCGGTCCTTGGATGAAACCGATTATCTAGACCCCTTTCAGTCTGGATTCAGTCCTGGCTACAGCACGGAAACGGCTTTGGTCACGCTGATCGATGATCTCTGGAGAGCCAGGGACAGGG